TGGCTCTCTTGCACCAGACTAGATAAACTGGAAATGTCAAAAGTTGGATTTTGTCGAAATTTTTGGTGTTGAGAGGATGGACATTCAGTGGTCATAAGAATGTCAGTGTCAATAAGTATGTGGTTTATGTGTCTACATTTGATGGTTTTGGTTTTCAGATAAGTATTTGCTGTGAACTTTCAATCAGTCTAATCACAGAGGTGACTTCCCTGTTTAATGAAGTTAAGCTTACACAATTTTTTATTGAATATAATTGAAAACCATATGAAGAGTGGTTAAAGCTTAAAACTTTTGCTGCCTTTAGTCTACCAGTGGGCTGTCTAAAACTTTGATAAGCTCCAAGTAATTTTTCCAGTCTTGGAAGAGATAAAGTTGTGAATTTGAAATACATATTGTAATGATTTCTTATCGTCGCTTTTCATTCTGTCCTTGCAGATGGGAAAAAGATCAGAATTCCAGGACACAGATTGCTGAGCAACAGACTAGTTAGGTGCCTAACAAATGTTGAAGCCTTTATATTACGCGCTGCAGATCTTAAAGAAGTCACCAATCTTTTCGCAAGATTCTCGAGTAGTCTACGTGTTCAAGGTGCCATAAGGTAATTTAAATTTATAGCTACTGAATCTCCAATCCATTTATTTGTTTTGTTGAAAACACTCGATACATGGTGATAAACAAAATAACGTGGCATTGATTTTTCATGGCTCTACCTATAGTATCAGATTTGTAAAGTAGACGAAATATGAGAAGATCAACTAGAAGGGCCTCTCTGGAGTTGATCATGTCAGATTTACATGTATATGTTTTCAAGTTAGGTGGTAGTTCAAGTCATTGAGCCTTTACTCAAGCTAATGTCACTAATTAAAACCCATTCCAGTTTCTTTCTACTTTCCTGACCACCAGCAAAACCATAATCTTTATCATTCTGCAGAACTAGAACAACGACACTTAGTCTAGTATACTTGTATTCTCTCCAACTGATAAAGAAATGGACGTTGTGACTAACTCAACCCCAAAAGCTAGCTCATGAGGTGAGGATTGCCCAAGCCATATAAAGAGACCAATTCCCCCATCCCTTAGCTGATGTGGGAGACTCAACACCAACTGGAGGAAGTTATCATCTTATTTGTTCAAAACTTTGTGGAATGCTATGTTGTCTTTTTAAGCTATCCTATACTTCTGTCCCTCTTCTTCCTCATAACAGAATGCCCTGTTTCCCTTATTTCTTGTCTCTTTGTTTCTGCTCCGCATTTCCCTTTTCTGACATATCATAGGCTTGAAGCATTACCTTGTGGAAGTTTTTCGCTCTCTTCTATGTTCATATTTTGCTTTGAGGGATGTTTTTTTTGGTGGTTTGTGTGTGTCTGTGGGAGGGGGGTTGACGCGAGATTGCAATGGATTTGCTGGTATCATGGACGGATCAGTGGCTGGAGTTAGATGTAAAGCTTTAAATTGGAGGAAGAAGATTTATGATGCTATTCTCTATATTTGTTTTCTTGTTGTTTGATGCTCTTTATCTTTTTTCCCATCTTTCAGCTTGGACACTATTTAATAAATAGCTGATAGTCTTTATAGTAGCATGTAAAATATGTAAAGAAGCCATATTTCAGGTATAAATCTCCATATAGGCGGCGGCCAGTACCAGTTGCCTGGAGATGCAAGAAGAAACGTCAAAGCCGAGCAGACTCTTCCAGCCCCCGACACTAATATATCAATCTTAAACTACCTTAGTATAATTCATTAGTTCTTCTGAATACATTTTAAAATATTTACAAATTGTTTCTGTACATCTATTTCTACGTTTTGTATGTAATATACAGTAGTTGTAATCAGAATCGGACTGAAACTTTGTATTGAAATAACCAATATATTAACCCCAGACGAACGGTTTATAATGTTAAAAAAATATGTTTTTGATGAAAAAAATAATACTAGTATAATCTGTTTTCTTCTGTGGCTATATAGATGTGTGCGTGTGTCAAGATGGATGATGAGATGTAATACTGTGCTTTATGCACCGCTTTGTTGAAACGGTTTATACTTGATGAATGAACAAATTGCGTAGACTAGAGAGCTATATAGAAGTTCGAATATCTTCAGGAACTTATTGAATATTTGAAGTACAACACTTGCCCAGCTCATCTGTATGCCACATCAATATCACCTCCAGCTGCGCAACAAAGGTGAAGATCTAGTAGAGGTCAGAAACTTTGACTGTCAAAATTTACTCCTATTTTGCACTTTGTTATAATTGTAATGGCATCTGAACACCGGGATAGTAAAAAGTTGTGTACTGATCATTAGAGCAACTTTGTTGTTTTTATTTAGGGGCTCAGAAACTAGCACGCATACGCGACAATAGCAATATTTTCCATCAGAAGTACTGCAGAAGATGGGTTTTGAGGTCCTGGGGGACAATGATTCCCCATTGATTCACATCATGCTCTACTATCCTGCAAAAACACGTACTTTTTCAAGGGTAGTGTCTCTAGACAGAATGTACAATTTCTTCTCTTATCATTGCAGGCTCATACTTTTACAGATTGGTTAGCGTTAAATTTACAACTTTCGTTCTTATCTAGGAATATGCTTCCTTTACTGTTATTTTAGGTGGCCATAGGGTGGTTGTTTTTCCAGCAACCCTTTTACTTTTGGCCACCTAGTTTTTATCGGCACTAATCACGGGTTCGACCGTGGAAACAGCCTCTTGCAAAAATGCACGGTAAGACTGCCTACAATAGACTCTTGTGGTCTAACCCTTTTCCCGGATTTCGTGCATAGCGGGAGCTTAGTGCACTGCCCTTTATTTTGTTGGCACTAATTGCTCTCCGGATAACCTTTTGCATAACCATAGTGCAATGAGTTACCACTTGCACTTTAGAAAGATTTTTAGTGTAGACAGTTTTGAACTAAAGCATTACTTACAAACTGAGGATGAATCCTTATTCTTGTAAAAGGAGCAGCTAGGTTTGAGCTACGGCGTGTCGCATCACCCTTCACATATTCTCCATTTATTTTTGGTTTGGAAGAGGGGGGTTTTGGGAGTAAATTTAAGGATGGTCATTCAATTTTGTGTTCATTACCCAAAAGTTTTTTTTTTTTAATTACGTAAAAGTCATTTAACTTTGTGTTTATTACCCAAAAGTCACTTTTTTTTTTGTTACACAAAAATCGTTCTAGTTATCACAATAATTACTTTGACCATATTTTTCAAACCTTTCACCTGAAAAGTCCATTATGCCCTTGACATTATAAATTTTCTCATTTATGTAATACCTTCTATATTATATGTTATATAATTTATTTTTACCCACGGATTTTTCTTATAATTAAAATAACTTAATATTATTTTATTTATTATTTTATAATATATTCATAAATTTAATTTTTCTTAATATTGATTTTCAAGATATATATGTAGCATTATTAAATTTGTCAGTAACATTACCGTGAACAAATCTTAAGTCCACGTTCTTAATCATGCTTAATAAAATATGTTTAATGAAAATTAAAAAATCAAAGCTCATTGATTAATCAGCCAAGCCATACCCATTAATTTAATAAACAAAATACTCACATTCGGCAAAATGACACATCATATTAATACTTTCAAATAAATAATATTAACAGGTTAAGCTTTAAAAAACTTAATATTAAAGACAAATATCTTTGAAACTTCTTTAAAAATTTCTATTGACTATAAAATAACTATGATTTGTTAAACAAATCTGTTTCTATTATTTTAAATAAATATTAAAAATTAAATATTTTTTTTATCATTTTTATATTTAAAATATGTTCATGTTTGAATATGATTAAACAAATTGAGTGCCATGAAAAAAAATTAGATGTATGGATATATTATAAAAATAATAAATAAAATAATTTAAAGTATTTATAATTATAAGTAAAATACCTAGGTAAAAATATATTATATAGTATATAATATATAAGGTATTACATAAATGAGAGAATTTATAATGTCAAGTACATAATAGACTTTTCAAGTAAAAGTATTATAAAATCTGGCCAAGATGACTTTTGTGATAAATAGAGCAAAGTAAAATAATTTTTGTGTAACAAAAGAAAGAAAAATGACTTTTGATTAATGAACACAAAGTTGAATGATTTTTACGTAACAAAAAGAAGAAAAATAATTTTTACGTAATGAACACAAAGTTGAATGACCACAACTTAGTGGTGGAGATAAAAAGACTCAATAGAACTCTAACACAAAGTTGAATGACCACAACTTAGTGGTGGAGATAAAAAGACTCAATAGAACTCTAACACAAAGTTGAATGACCACAACTTAGTGGTGGAGATAAAAAGACTCAATAGAACTCTAACACAAAGTTGAATGACCACAACTTAGTGGTGGAGATAAAAAGACTCAATAGAACTCTAACACAAAGTTGAATGACCACAACTTAGTGGTGGAGATAAAAAGACTCAATAGAACTCTAACACAAAGTTGAATGACCACAACTTAGTGGTGGAGATAAAAAGAGTCAATAGAACTCTAACACAAAGTTGAATGACCACAACTTAGTGGTGGAGATAAAAAGAGTCAATAGAACTCTGACAACAATAGAGATCAGAAAGATAGTACCAACGAGCAAAAAAGGAGTATATGCTGCGAATTAATGAAAGCGCAGTCAAACTGTTAGTGGTGGAGATTTTGCTGGATTGATTAAAGAAATTGACGACTAATTGCTGGTAATGATATGAAGTTAATCAGGTGTTCCTCTCTGCATTAAAATTCTCTTGTTTCGGGTAAACGCTATTCGTTTATTTATTTGACGGCTCTTGAAACCCAAGTTGACCGTCTTACAAGTTTACTACGAATGAGCAAACTCTGTCCACCTTTATTTCTCTCAAATAAAAAAGCAAAAAACACGTTCAGAAAGAGCTAAGCATTATTGTATAGGAGAGAATAGAGAGAAGAGTCTGTGGTCGTCTAGCGTGTTAAGAAAATGTTGATTTCTTCGTTTTAAGTTGTGGTTGACATAATTATCCGGTATTTATGTTAGTATGGAATAATCGAGATCTCTGCGCAAAATGGTCTATGATACCATCATTATAAAAAGAAGATTTTCTGGCTGTGTTGAAGAATATTTTTAGATAAGGCGGAAATATAGAGAGGAAAAAAGAGACGAAGAAACGAACAAGATGGGCGACAAGAGCAATATTGCTAATTCGCTTCCTACAGGCAAGTAGTAGTGTCTTTTGTATTTTGCTTGAGTGTTTGTTGTTTGGTCTTCCATTCTTCTGGATTGGAATTGGAATAATGTAACAACATTTTCATTTGGGCAGCCGATCAGTGGAATTGTATTATGTGCTCATCGATAATATTGTTTGAGTCATTTGTTCATTTTTATTACTGTTGCTTTGGGTGTACTTCAGTGGCTAAGTTTCTACTACTAACATCCTTCTAAATTTTCGGTATTGTTTTTTCAGTTGATAGACTATGCTGTCCTTTTCTTATTCGGCAAAAATAGAGAGAAAAAAAAATTAATTTGCCTTTTTCACCACGTTAAAATTATAGAGACTGAAAGAGACATTAAAAAAGAGAAAAAAAATTCAAAATAGCTCACGGGCGAAGTGGATGAAGCAAATTTTAACATTAATAGTAAAAAAAAGAAAAGGAGGACGTAGCTTGACAATTAACTCCCCATTTAAATATGGAAAGAAAAAATACCGATACATGGAGATTATGAAACAAATCAAAGAGTAAAGAAAGTTACAAGAGAATTGGTCTGCACAAAATAAAATAATTGTATATTAGCGTGTAAAGATGTGAGGTGTTACTTACCAGAAGCACTGTCTATCAACTAAAATATTTTATTCAGAGCTCCTTTATTAGTTTCTTATAAATCTCTTTACCCTAAAAATCAGATAACAATTGAATTTGTTAGAGATTTAAAAAATATGCTAATTAACTTGATACAAAACGATAAATTAGATTGCAATTGAAACAAAATAGCGACAAATTAACTGCAAACCATGCAAATTGGATGATTTCTGCTTAGGAAAGCAAGTTACCCTTGAGTTGAATGCACTTTTATTGACACAAAGATATCAAAGAGTAAGAATTTAGAGAATGTATTGCTTATCAGTATATGTTACAATGTGTCCCATGAATTGTTAAGCCCCCTTTATATATTAGGGAAAAACTACCTTTTAAGATATTATCTTATTGTTCTATAAAAGGCAAAAGTCCATGATTTGCTGACCGTTGGTCCCTTTTTGACTCGTTCAGTGATTTCTGTCATAATGATTGGTTAACGGCGAGACTTACGGGCCCCTATCGGATGAGTTAGCAAAGCTTTCTTTGAGACCGTTAGAAACAGGACCCGTTACGCCTTCGGTAAACTCGAGGGCAAATCTGATGCTTTCGATGGCTAACTTTGACAATGCTTTGTGTTCGATCATAATCATCATGTGTCGATCTTGGCTGATGGTGTTAGACGTCAAATCGATCTTTGAAGCTCGACTTCACACAATCACAGATATTTCGACCATGGCCTAATCAGGGAGTTCGGAAGCTCGATCAAATATCGAGCTCGATTTTACCCGTATACAGATAGTCCCCTCGTTCTTCGGAGAGTAGATGACGAGGAACGACATGAGCCTTAGATTCTCACTTTGATATATCATGACGTAAGTGACAAAAACATGACGTCAAATCCCCTTGTTTTTTAGAGAGTAAAGATGAGAAACGATACGAGCTTCCGATTCTCACTTCGATAAATCATGACGACGAATTCATGACGTAAGTGACACGAATAGTTGAAAAGTCCCGTCGGTCTAGTTTTCAAGGCATTAAATGTGTGTCAGTAAACGGTGGCCGCTACAAGATGTGAACCGCCATTTGAGAAACCTATAAATACCCCATTTCATCCATGCATTAGAACTTTTACATTGGGCTCTTGTGTTTTAAGAAAAACTCCATCACTCTCATCTTCTGATTTTCTGAAAACTTAAGTTTAAAACTTCTTCCCTTCTGGTTTTCTGAAAGCTTTCATAAGTTATCTGGTAATTTCACCTCCTCTTTTATCAGCACCTTTTTTTCTACTCTATTTAAAATCAATGGCAAAGACTTCAAAGTCCGTTCCTCAAAAAGAAAACTTTTTTCCTCACGACCATCTGTTGAGGAGAACGTTTCGTCTGTTGCTGCTGAGGAACCGGTGCCGGAACCCCCTATGAAATTGTTCGTACCTACGGGGTGCCCAATCGGTGCTGATTTTAAGGTGGAGAAAACCTCATCGGTGTCGGGTCAGTGTGAGCCGGTCTCGAGATATATCTGCTCGGTCACAGAGGACGTCCTCTCCAAGGTCAAAGAAGATTTTAATTGGGTTGGCAAGCACATGGTGGTACCCAAGCCAGAGGAAGCCATTACCACCCACGTGGAGGGTTTTTTGAGTACTTACACTTATCCTTTCACGTTGGGCCCCTTGGACTCGGTCATCGTTCACCCCTCGTTTTGGAGGATAGTAATTCTCTTTCGTTTCTTCGTGAGCAAGATCGAGGGGTATCCC